GGCTCTGATCTTTAATCAGCTCCAAAGAAATTAGGGTTATTAGGATGTTTCAATTGTTTGAATGGTGGTAATTTTTCTGATCAAGAGAATTAGTTCTGAGAATTATTATTGTATTTTATGAATGGTTGCATGGGGTGGCACATTGAAGGATCTCCATTTTGATGAGAAGTTGTTCTTAGTTATTTGAAGGGCTGTGCCTGACATTTTAATTAAAACGTTATCGGAATCTCTGGTTGATTGGAAGCTTAATGTCATGTTCTGAGTGAGCTCTTGATATTCCACAAATTCATGTTTTGAAATGCCTTATATTTTGATTGTAATTTTGGTTTAAGGGGGCGTGAAAATGGGAATCCCTTGCAGTTTTGTGGAATACAGCTCCCATCTTACCTAGACCGAGTAAATTGGCGAATTTGTGAACACATTTTTATTAATTTTGTCTTAAAATGATGCTGCTTCATAGATGTCATGTGGTCATATAGTTCAAAATTTTAGGAATCCTTTATTGAGGATCGCTTCTTGCCAACGTTTTCAACTCTCAAAAGGGAAACGGAAAATACAATGAAAAACAGAGTTGTTTTTTTTTTTTTTTTTTTCTCAAATGGTATGCTTATTATGTCATACCCAGTAAAATGTATCCAGTTCGAAATTTGACTTGCTATATTTCATATTTCGCAGTGTGTTTAGTTCTTCTCCTCAATGATGTCAAAAGTTCATCCTCCGCGACGCTTTCATCCTGGCAAGGCTCCTAAGTTTTTACTTACATGTATTGCTTAAATACTACTGAATTTGTTTCCAAGCAAGGTATTTGCTTTGTGATAAGGATTCTGGTCCTACTTTCTGGCTTTGGAAATTTACTTGAAAGATTGTGGAGTTGACAGCTGTCACCATTGCGTTTTTATCTAAAAGAGGAGAAAACCAGCAGTTTCTATATGGAACAACCAAATAATCACGACCTTGCCCATTTCAATTCCTCTGAACATAGAACCGTCGATAATGGTCCCGACTCGCAAGTTTTCATGGCTGATTCTTCAGGCCATGCGAACGTGAGCGCGAAGCCGCCTGAGATCACTTTTTCAGAAGCTAAACCGGTGCTTAATTACTCCATACAGACTGGCGAGGAATTCTCACTCGAGTTCATGCGTGACAGGTTCAATCCGAGGAAGCTCTTACCAGAAACATACAGTGACACCTCTCAAGCTCCTGGTTACTTGCAGCTAAAGGGCATTTTGGGAATAGGCCACACGGGGTCTGAAAGCGGTTCCGATATCTCCATGATTGCCCCTGTGGCAAAAGAATCGAAAGAACTCTCACAAAAGAATCCATCTGCAAATGGGGACATTGTTAATAATAACCATGGCTCTCTCCATTCAATGCAGGCCTTCCCATGTGCTCCACTTATACACACCTCGTCCGGAGCTTCCGACAGCTCATCAACAAAGCTTAAGATATTATGCAGCTTTGGTGGAAAGATTCTGCCTCGGCCAAGTGATGGGAAACTCAGATATGTCGGTGGGGAAACTCGCATAATCCGGATAAACAGGGATATTACATGGAAAGAGCTGTGGCAGAAAACAAAGGCAATTTATGAAGAGACGTGCGCTGTGAAATATCAGCTCCCTGGGGAGGATCTTGATGCCTTGGTAACCATATCGAGCGACGAGGATATACTGAACATGATGGAGGAGTGTAATGTTCTACAAGATGGAGAATGGTTGAGAAAGCTCCGGATGTTTCTGTTCTCTCCCGAGGATTTAGACGAAACCAATTTCAGTCTAACCAATGGCGATAACAATTCGGACTTGAAATACGTAGTGGCTGTCAATGGCATTGGCTTCGGGTCCCGAAAGGGCTCTGGTTTACATGGTCCCGTAAGTTCATCTGGAAACAATCTAGACAAGTTGGACACGCAGAATATTTTTAAGAGGGAGATGAGTAGGGCTGACGATCTCCAGCTTGCTGGGGGTGGTAGCTCGAATTTAGCAGGTTTTCTTGTCCCCCCGATAGCAGCAGGACCTTCTCCACCGACTATGCCTATTTCTTCTGGAGTTTATGGCGCTAATTTGCGGTACTATGATGGTCATTCTGTGCAATACGAACAACAAAGGCAGCAACCTCCACAGTTTGACTACAACCTTCACTCTCCGTATTATGCACCTACTGACATCAATCTGCCACAATCTTCCCAAGTGCCTGTTCCTGAACAAAATGGTCTTGAAGGGATGTCTCTTGACACCTCAGGCACACTTGACAAGGACGTGAAAGAAAAAGACGCTACACTGGAAGCCAACGGCTTGATTAAATCAGAGAGTGAGAATCAGCAAATATTTGTTAACGAACAATTTGTTCCGTCACTGGCGCACAGTGATAGTGCTCCGGCTAGTCTGCCTGTTGAGGAGCCATCATGCATGGTCTCTAAACTGGAGAGAGAATTATCTTCAAAGAATTTAAACGGCAAGGGGAGACCCGAGGAACCTTTGCTCGTCCCTAAGTCACTCGATGCTGTTCCTCCATCGTCTAGTGGCAATGGGTATGTTCCCTTGGGTAATAATGCCCCTGTCCCTGCACCCACCAATTCGGAGTCTGATCCTACTGATTTGAGCTACTTTGGGTCTTCTTTTCCTCCACAGAGGGTTTTCCGTTCTGTGTGGATTCCCCGGGAGCAGGGGGAGTCTCTCAGCAGAATATCAAAATCGGATGATACACACAGTTCTCAGTTTCTGGTTAATCAGTCGAATAATGATGATTCCCAGAAGGCTTTGTTTGCAGTGTCTGTTGATAAACCGCAGAACGTGCATTTGAATATTCCTACTGAACAGCAACATTCTACAGAAGGGGCTATCCCTCAAGAACCCGAAAGTGTCATTATTGGCCTTTCTAAGAATCAGAAGCTGAAGCAGATGAACCCAGTTGAAGCTATAGATATTCTAAAGGCAGAGACAGAGCCTGTGTTGAAGCTTCCTGATGTCAGCCTTGAGAATATAGTGAAAGACTCTGAAGATTCTACTATTCGGTGGGTTGAAGGGGCAACACAGGCCATTAATAATGATGCTCAACCGTCAACGTGGAGCGAAAATCACGAAGAGTCTAGTGTTGGTGTTCCCGTGGCCAAGCAGGGAGACATTCTTATCGATATCAATGATCGGTTCCCTCGCGACCTTCTTTCTGAAATATTCACGAAGGCCATTCTATCTGACAGTTCATCTGATTTTGGTGTTCTACAAAAGGATGGGCCTGGTTTGAGTGTTAACATAGAGAACCATGATCCCAAACACTGGTCCTTTTTTCAGAGACTAGCCGGGGATGAGTTCACGAGAAGGGATGTTTCTCTTATTGATCAAGACCAAATTGTGTTTCCATCTGGACTTACGGAAGTCAAGGAAGAGGCACCTCTAGCATACGACTTTGTACCACAGGCGACAGATGGAATTCTTCCAGATCACAGGGGAGTTCAGGAGAAATTCAGGGAAGATTATCAGAAAGAAATGCTTGCCAGTGATGGCGCTGTCTCTTCAGTTCATCTCGATTATGATTCATCACTGGTGCAAGTCAGTGAAGCAATGAAATATGATGATTTGATGGAAAATACGAGAAATCGTGACTCTGGATACGAGGTGTGTGTTCATTTGATGAATTCTGTAGATGGATCATTTATTTGACCATGCTAATACTTTTTAATGAATCTGTTGTTGTTTCCTGTATTCTAGGATGGATTTGGAAATATTGACTTGCCTTCTCTAGATCGTTCTTTGGTGGATATTGATCTCACCTCACTGCAGGTTTGTACCGATGATGATATGTAACTTTGGTGTTCATGCTAGTGTTTGTTTCCACGGAGCAGGCTGATTCAAATCCAGCTTCTTTTCAAATAATTTGATAGATTATAATTTAAAAATTTGGCATGATTTTCTCTATTACAGTTTGAACATAGTTATATGTCGTAAACTTGTAAACTGATTGAGTGATTAATTTACCATGTATGATTTTCATGTTGATCTGTTGAAATGATAGCACCATTAACTTATAATTGCAATTTAACGATTAAATCAGATTTTAAACTCTAATTGTTTTTCCACAACTGTGGTGCGTTTCCAGATAATAAAGAATGCGGATCTTGAGGAACTGAGGGAGCTTGGATCCGGTACGTTTGGGACTGTTTATCATGGGAAATGGAGGGGTTCAGATGTAGCAATCAAGCGAATAAAGAAGAGTTGCTTCACTGGTCGTCAATCGGAGCAAGAGAGACAGGTAATTGGTAATAATATGTTGTGGTCTGCTATTGTTCTTCACCATCAAAATTTACACGTTTTGTACTTTTTGTTGATGTTTTAATTTTTGTATGCATATAAAATGTTGTCCAATACTTGGAGATTCATGAAAGTGAACTTGCTTAATTTCTGTTGATGTCGTTATTACCATTAGCAACTCAGTCCTTGCTTATATGCCTTTAACGTCATTCTGACTTTTACACTTCCAGACCATGGAATTTTGGAGGGAAGCTGAAATTCTCTCCAAGCTTCACCACCCAAATGTGGTTGCTTTGTATGGTGTAGTACAAGATAGCCCTGGAAATACATTGGCTACTGTGACAGAATACATGGTTGATGGCTCTTTAAGACACGTTTTACTGCGGAAGGACAGGTATCATTCACACATGTGTTTGGTTTTACTTGTTTATGCTACTCAGTAATACGATTTATGAAAATTTACTTGGAATCCCATCCTCTATTTTGCTTTATTCTCATGGATAGTTACCCTTAAAGTGCTTCCCTTTGTCTTTTCGTACTATTTCTCCTCCATCAATCGTATTTATTTTTGCTTCGTTGATTTGTTTAAATGCAAATTTTGCAGGCATCTTGATCGCCGGAAGAGACTCATAATTGCCATGGATGCAGCTTTTGGTATGGAATATTTGCACTCGAAGAACATAGTACATTTTGATCTGAAATGCGACAATTTGTTAGTTAACTTGAAAGATCCTTCGAGACCTATATGCAAGGTAAGTATCTTTGGTAAATTAATTTCTGTTTTAAATATAATGATTTCGATAATTATAAGGATGGAGTATTTTGACATCAGCCTAATATCATTACCAAGATCGTGATATAACTGACACAATTCTGATGTTGGCTTGAAATTTATCAGGTTGGAGATTTTGGATTATCGAAAATAAAACGTAACACCTTGGTTTCGGGTGGAGTTAGAGGAACACTTCCATGGATGGCCCCTGAGCTTCTGAATGGAAGTAGCAATAAAGTTTCTGAGAAGGTTAGATTTGATTGCAAACATATTTTCAGATAAATCGAATTTATAGAGAAACAATTAGAAATTAGAAAATTATTAATCGCACGTCCTTGCATGCCAACAATCTTGAATATTCTAAATTCTGGAGTATACATCGAAGAATCTCAGTATGCTGAATTGTTCATCCGATAGGTTGATGTCTTTTCATTTGGTATCGTCTTATGGGAGATTCTCACTGGGGAGGAGCCTTATGCCAGCATGCATTATGGTGCAATCATAGGTTTGTAATTCGAGCCTTTTCTTACAAACTTCTTACACTGTTCAGGCTTGTAAGAATTTGAGGATTTAACTGGCATATGATTTATGAATATAATTTGAGCACGTTCGTAAAATAAAATAAAATAAAATAAAATGTGCGTTCTTGAATTTGATTGTATACTCTTGAAATCCAGGAGGCATCGTCAACAACACGTTGAGGCCTAAAATTCCGAGCTACTGTGATGCCGAGTGGAGGGCATTAATGGAACAGTGTTGGGCTCCAAATCCTGCTCTAAGGCCATCTTTTACAGAAATAGCGGGTCGATTACGTGTGATGTCTGCACCGGCCCAGATAAAGAAATCGGCTACATAGGTAATGAATCGTCGATAGTAAGTGACATCACAACAGATTTGTTCATTCAATTCTACACACATTTTCAGGGACAATGAGCAGTTTGTGAACAAATTGCCTATATAATGCAATGAACTCATTACATATTTGTATATGAAGCTTATCTGAAAGTTTGCAGAATAGTGTTGTATATGAACCATTTGAGGACTTCTATATCTTAATATGCAAAAATCACAACGAAAATGTGTTATTGTGTTTCTCATGTCGTTTTTTCGAGTTGTGTTTCGTATCGTCATTTATTTTTATAATCTGTGTTGTGTCATATCCGTGTTTCGTATCGTATCAAGGACACTATATTCAGGTCAAAACTCTCACCAGGGCTCAACTTTCTTATTCTTTTTGAAACTTTTCTTTAACTAAAAGAATTCAAAGGACACCAATCAAGATAGCCTAACAGGTGGAATCTCTTCTCCAGGTTGGCCTTCACCTGGCTGCCCCTCGCCTGGTGGGCCTTCTTCGGGCTGAGCCTGATCTGGTGGGCCTTCCATGAGCTGAGCCTCGCTCGGCGGGCCTTCACCCAGCGGCGGGTCCAGTGGACGGCCTTGAGCTGTGGTTCCACCAGCACCATTACAGTCCGTATGGCATACACATTGCCAGAATTTGCAATGTCCCCCCCAAAATCCTTCTTTTTCACAAATCGTCCCGCAGTTTCTCGAACGGAAACAAGCTCCGGTGAATAATCTGCTCTTGGCTTCACACTCGGTTGATTCTCCATACATTATCATGCCCTCTTCATAAAAATAGTAAAAAAATAAATAAATAAATAAAAAATTGAATACAAATTTTTATATTATTGAAATGACTTACGAAAAACCAAGAGAAGGAAAAATAACACATGACTTATGAGTTTGTGAGCCATTGTTGATCAGTTGTGAAGTTTTAGTCGTTTAAGGATATCCAATATGAGGCGAGCTTTTATAGTGAAACAAAAGAGAAATGAACTGGTCCTGCTATATGCATTTTTCAAAGGGCGGTAAAATTGCATTGATACCCAATTTTCCCATGAAAAATGAGAGGTAAAAAAAAACGCATTAGTAACTTTGCCATGAATATTACAGTAGAGTATTCGTATTTAATATTTTTATTTGGGAAAAAAAAAGATTGAAAAATTAATTATTCTTCTATGTTAAGATCACCGAAAATAAGACACGCCGATCGTATCGTGTTGTAACTATATGCCCGCCCCTGGTGGAGGGCTCACCAACCTATGAAGACCACCCAAACCCTTCGCAGCCAAAAATGCCAAATAGTCCTCAACAAAGTTGCTTATTAGTTCTATAAATCATCCATTAAGTATAAATTAGTTTACAATCAAATATTTAATCAACTACCGATAATATTTAATTATTATGAAATAGAAGCGATATATTTATAAACTTGGTATGCAAAAGACCTCGGACCGATTGGAACTGGTCTGAATCTATCTTCTTCGCTAGTAGATCGTCTGCGAACCTGCAAAAACTCTCACACCGGAAGAGTTTTCTAGTGAAGAGCCTCTGATGCTTAAATGAGCACTTGTACAAGACAAAGTGCAGAAAAATAGTGTGTTTAATAATAACAGAGAATGTAACGTGATAATGAGCATACCCACTTCCTTATATAGGGAGGTGGTAACTTGTTGCCCAAGATTGCCCGGATGAGCTGCCCAGACTGTCTGATAGTACCACCCGCGCTGCCCAAACGCTGCCAATTTTGTTAAGCCGCGTGGCCTCATCCACGTGCGACTTTTAACCCCCGAAGGTTTATTTCTATCCTTTAATCTTTCTTATCTTATTAGGTTGCCGAATGATGCGACCAGCTCGATGTCCACTGAGGTAGAGTGTTGTCTGACCAAGTGTTGCCCTGTCTGGTCAATCGTACGACCAGCCGTACCTACAAGTCGAGTTTTTCAGCAGGCCATTCAAGGGCCCTAGCTCGACCTGCCGTTGCCCTCTTGTATCCTTGGTGTTGTCCTCTATCTGAAGACTTGTGGTCCTACGTTGGTGGTGCTTGACCACCGATGGTATTCCTGTGATTCTATTCGACCAAACGGTTCGTTTGACTTGGTCCACCGGTTTATTGGGTTTATTCTCCCCAGTACGGTATCCCATATCAATACTAATGACCAGAAAATATTACATTAATTATTAAATATAAACTAATCATTAATGATTTTAAATTTATATCTAGACATTTATTACAAATAAAATGTAATCAATACTAAATATTTGGCCATGGTATATTGTTACTACATTATCATCTACTAATCATTTATTAAACAATTTTATATATCCTTATTTCAATTCAAAAAGATAATACAATATCCAATATCTATATATCTTTATTTCAATTCAAAAATATAATACAATCCAATATCATTTGTATTCTTTCAAATATAGAACCGATAATCATACGTTTTAAATAGGGGCATAAATTATATATATACATGATAACAAATAATTAAGACAATGATATATTTCTAAAACAGTAACACTATACAGTGATGTTATCCCATAATTGTGCAAACATGCCATATTGTTTATTGTAATATTCTCTCTATATATATAGAAGGCACCAAACACGATTTCCACACCACAAAACCTCATCAAACCCTAAATTTGAGTACTCATCAAATCGATCATTATTAGTTAACATGAACTTGCATCGGGCTATCACGTTTATGTTCTTCCTTAGTGCCATTATTGATCCAAGCCATGTCGAATCTCGACCGTTGTTTTTTCGAACTATTTGTGGTGGCGGCCGTGGAGGAAGGATTCCGGCTCCTCCGAAAGCTCTATATAAAGGCGTGAAGCCAAACGAGCCCTATCGGGAAGAGTCGAAGGAAGTCACATTGCCGCCAAAATATTTTTTCAATTCGGGCAAGAGATTGGTGCCGACGGGCCCCAACCGAGAAGAGTCGCCGGAAATTCCATCGCCGCCAAAATATTTTTTCAATTCCGGGAAGAGATTGGTGCCGACAGGCCCCAACCGGGAAGAGTCGCCGGAAATTCCATCGCCGCCAAAATATTTTTTCAATTCCGGGAAGAGATTGGTGCCGACGGGCCCCAACCGGGAAGAGTCGCCGGAAGTCCCATCGCCGCCAAAATATTTTTAAAAAATAAACTTTAGTGGAATATTGAAGAAATTCTCTTGTGATTTCGAAAGCTCCAAATTAATCTAATTTATGGGGATAAATAATGGTAGGATTTTACAATTATGTTTTTTTTTTTTTTTTTTTTT